ATTAGAAATTGAAGAATACAATTTTTTTATTTAACGATTATGATTTATGAGTTTTGATAGAAATGAACAAAAGTTAGAAAGAATAATAAACTCATCATACTCATAAAAAAGTAAATTCATTTTATGTCATTATTATTCTTTTATTTTTATTTTTTAGTTTAAAAAATAAGTTTTTGATGGTGTTGGATTTTTTTTTAATATTGATTTTTGTTTTTGTTTTTAGATTTCAATAATGAAAAGAAAATGAGAGCATATTTGGTTGGGTTTCAACTATGTAATAGGTATAGTTCATTACTTTTTTATATTATATATTTTTTTATTTTCCTATATTTGTTTGTTTTTTCTAACTTATTAATTGGTTTTGTTTGCGTTATATGATATATGTATTTAGATTTGATTTACTCTAAAATAATATAGGATCATATGTTTATATATATATATATATTTAGTTAAACCGGATATTTGCTATGCATAAGTATAAGACATCTAAATTATTTATTATTCTCAATTTATATATTTGGTTTATATTTTAATAAAAAAAACAATTATATATGTTAAAGTATATATGTTAAAAAAAAAAACTAATAAAAGGTAAATGGTTATGAGCAAATTAATAATTATGTTTTGTAGTTCAATCATATATTATTATTTTTATTTTTATTTTTATTTGATGTTTTATTTTTGGTTTAGCTTTATAAGATTTAATAATTTAAGAATATTTTGCTAACATAAATGTCTTTTACAATTTAATCAAATGATATATTTTTTATATATTCATATCAACATATAAACAATTATTAATCTTGACTATTTTTTTTATTAAGTCAAAGTAAAATTTTATTAAAATTAGTGAAATGATTATAAATATCTAACTACAATTAAGAGTACAATAAAGCATAAAAAGAATATAAACCCTAAAGAAATTGTACCAACATTACATGAGAAATCTAAAAGTGTAAATAACAACATTTTTAACACTAAAAAAAAATATAAACCAATAATAAAAATCTTAATTTATTTAAAACTAAACTTTGCTTTTAAAAATCTTGATTAAGGTTAATAAAATTTTTTTAATTATTAAAAATAATTTTAAAATCCCGTACATGGTACGGATAAAAAACTAGTTTTATTATACAATACATTAATAAATAATTTAAACAAATTCTATATAATAAATAATTTAAAATCTTATTATTATATATAATTTCTATTTAATATTCTTAATAATCTTTTTTTTTATAATTCATTTTATCATTATTGTTGTATTTATATTTAAATAATATTTTCATCATTAATTTTAATTTACTATTATAATAATTAATCTTACTTTTATTATTATTTTTAATTTTAGCAAAATTAATATCATTATTCATCAAATAAAGTATTAATTATCTGATAGGAAAACACGTCAAGATTGCGACCTGCTCTGAATTTTGAAACCGTTTGCTTGGTCCGGCAAAGAAGGCAGAATTAATATAGTCAGAATTAATGCAGTTCCTCCGTCATGGTCTCCCAACCTTATCTCATGTGACAATACAATGCTGCCTAGATTTTTTGCAATGTGAAATGGAAACTTTAGTAGAACACTGAAATAATTTAATGAACCCCTCTTTTACAACTGATCGGGGAGTATTAAGGGGGAAAAAATAGCATAAATCTTGTCAACTTTCTTAGTTGGACTTCACCAGAATCACCTGCACCATGTTTATTTAGATTAGAGATAAAATACTCTCTGTATGAACAGATTATTTTTTTACTCTGCTTCCGGCATGAAATGGACTGCATTTCACCTGTCATTATTTTTATTATAATTTTTTAATCATAATAAAAAATATAAAAATCCATCACTTATAAATATGAGATCAATATAAATTTTTGATAATAAGGGACAGACTCATAAAATTTATTGACGTTTTTGCAATGAGAACAGTATGCGGTATATATTTATGTCCAAGAGATATTAGCAGTTAACATCAAATGCAGTTGTGATCTGTCTACGTCTTCCTCAGAAAATTATAACTGCTAATAGCACATTTAATATCCCAGGTCTTGAAACCTTACAAGGTCCTTGAATAAGAGAATCCAGTGCAAACACGTGCATCTAGGAAGATTATAATTGCAACCTAAAAAGTAATTATCAAGGATGTTCACAAATCAAGTACTAGCAAGTGGAAGCTGCATATTGTATGCTCATACAGCTATTATATATAGTCATGAATGATTTCACCTTTGTCCATGAGTAAGGGATCAGAGCAAAAGCTGGTAATCTGCCATATTTTACTCGAACACGTTAAATTGCAAGGGGTCTAAAATGAATCAGATACTACGTTAACATCATGTCACATTTTAGCGCAAGCTCCATTACGGTGGAAATGAGCCTCTAAGTTGTAAGATAAATTGAAAACAACGTCTTGTAATTTCCTGACATAGAACAGCGGAAACAATCAGAAATGACCTATTTCAAGAAAAATCCCAGAAACAGTAGTGCAGCCAGGGTCTCCAGCGAGCCACAGCACGGGAGGATCCTCCACTTGTTTATGCATGAGGTATTTTTTTCATGTGTACTGATCTTGTGAGGAAGTTATACTTGTAAATATAATTCCTGGTTGGTTACAACATTATGCTTTCATTTATTGCTTTCCTAGTCAAGACAATCAAGTGGGCGGTGGAAAAGAAGAAAATTATGTTACTTTGTTGGAGAGAAAGTGAAAGGAAGACAAAATAAAACCATGATTGTGGATTTTCTATCCATACCAAGTTACTAAGATGTATCAATTTCCGAAATTAGAAAGAGAAGAGGGAGAGATGTTCATTTCTTTATGTCCAATTTCAAAATTTTGTGAGGCTGACCATTCAAATGTAGCCTTGCCATTAGCCAAGGACAATTTGACTACAAGGAACTAATTTTGCTGCCCAATGCCCACAGCCACACCAACTTTCTGGTTGAAGGGGAAAGCTTATTTCCCCAATTGCAATCTGACTGCTTTTAGAAAGCACTATGCCAAATCCGTTTGTTATCTGATAGAAGGAGGGATTCCAAACTCAGGCTTCTGAGGTGTTAACCCATGAGAATGGGACTGCAAATCTAAAACAAGCTGGCATTTAGGAAAACACTATCCAAAAAAAAAAAAAACAGAAAATGACCATACAATGAAATAACTGAGTCCAATGTTCTACCAACCACATGTAAAGATATGTGCCTCAATAACTCAACAAATCCAGCATAATATCATTGCAATGGGCACAAGGTTTTCATGTCTTAAAGACCAACTAGGAACTAGCAGTTGATCACAAACATTCAAGGGAAAGGCAACAAATCCAGCATAGCTTACATGGTCAATATAATTGCAACATGCACCAGGTTTTCCAGTTGTCAAGACCAACTAGGAATTAGCAGTTGATCACATACATTCAAAGAAAAGGCAACAAATCTGGCATAGCTTAATTGGTCTATATAATTGCAACACACACCAGGGTTTCAGGTCTTCAAGACCAGCTAGGAACTAGCAGTTGATCACAATCGTTCAAGGGAAATCCATCTCTTGAACCTGCCAAAGCATTCCTTAGGGTGAACTCTGGAGCTGTGACCCCCTCCCTGCAAAAAAGAAACTGTCACAAGTCATTTTCTTCAATTAACTAGGTAGTAAATAAGACCATCAGAAATATTGGAACTCTTGCCTTTATGGTCGCAATCGTGAAGTTGTTTTCATATTCCCTTGAGTATCTACACAGAAAAATTAAGCAGAGCAAAGCATCAGAAAAAAAATCAAGATACTCCTTTACACTTTACAGCAAAGTGAAATCCGGTCTACACGGGAAACAAAATCCATTTACAGTTGTAGGCTTACCCTGCAACTTGACCATCAACAAACCATGGCCTCCAATCATCAACAATTGAGAAATTCAGGGACTTAATCCATGTTTCAGTTCCCACATATGGAACAGCTGAGTCATGATCACCACTGTAAAGAAATTTCTAGTCAGCAAGCGCCCTCATAAAGAAGGGGAGAAAAAGGAGGACAGAGTATGCCAGCAAAAGACCTGTATATTAGGGCCCTGTAACCTTTTGTATTGAGAAAGAGATGATAGCCTACAGCATTCTCAACATCTTTATCATAAAGTAAGCTTTTGTTACATCTTACCCATTCTCTGACTGTTCCCTGGTAATCAATGTCAAGATTACATTACTCCAACTTAGCTAGTTCCTTGGTTGGTGTTGGGCTTCTACTCTTACCTTTCTGATATGGAGTGCTTTCTGGACACTGATATCAGTTGCCCAAACCTTGCATAGGTAACAATTGTAGTTCTGTAACAAGGTTTCACCAATAGCTCAATTATCTAAACGGATTTACATAAGTTATGTACGAAAGATAGCAAGTGGAAGACATTACACGGCATCCAAATTTGGGGAACTCAGCTAGCACATGCAGGTTGTCTTCATGTGTTTCTAGGAAATATTTCCGTTTATTGTCTAAACTACCCAATGCTCTAAACTCAGAAGGGCAGTTAGGCTCCAGGATGTGCGGTTCATTTATGTCTGCAGTGCACTATAAAAGGAAAACTTGTTCAACTTTTCTTGTCAACCCCAAGAAATATTTCAGGAAAATAATTATAGTGATTCTATAATAAAATTAAAACAAAAAAACAACAGTTACTCATTCTTTTCTACCTCTGAGATAGCTTGAAGATCTTTTGCACACAATAGATTGCTGACGTCCACTTCTATATAATTTTCTTTACAATTCCTTTTGGCTGACTGCAAAAAACGTTCACTGAACATGCATTTATATATATTTTTCATTGAAGAACCACTTGGAATTAAGGGAATAGATAACTGTAAGTTTCAACATAGATGTTCATCTATTTATGTTATTCAGAAGCATTAAAACAAGGGTTTTGTCCAATGACCTCATAAAGTTCATCAGAGATAAGTGCCATACGATGATAAAATGAAATCTTTGAGTTGTCCTCAACTCTCCAATCTGTTCTTGGATTACCAATCAAACAACCCTGCAAAATTGCTGAATATGTTTTAGCATTCTGGAATCCACGTACTCCATGTCATAAAGACAATTGTAAAGCAAAAAAGTCAGCATAGTAAATCAAGAATTTTATATTGGGATCACTTACTTTGAGATTAATTGCGGGAATGGCCCCTTTCCTTCAGTACCTGAAGCACATGAAGTAAGCTGGTCATTGGCCTTTTTTAACAATAGATAAGAACAAGTTTTAACTGGATGAACACAAGAGTTACCATTCTGATATTGCTAGAGCAATTAATGGGAACAATCTTGCCCAGCGTATGAGTCACCAGCAAGATAGACATGGATTTGTGATGTATTTGGGATGGCTTTGCAACCACCTGAATAGACGGAATCATATACTAAGTAGAGCAAAACGAAGAAAGCAAAAATAATTGTGGAGACATGTAAGCACATTATAATGGTATCTTTAATGCAACAAGAGATATTCGCAATTAACATTAAACCGTTCAGTTAAGAACTAAAGATGTGCCTTTACCTTCCTCATAAAATTGTACCCATCATTAGCAAATTTCTTATCCCCGGTCTTGAAACCTTGGAAAGTCCTTGAATAAGAAAATCCTGTGCCAACAGGTGCATCTAGGAAGATTATGTTTGCAACCTAAACAGTTGTCAAGGACGTTCACAAATCGAAGATTAGTAGAGGAAGCGGTAATCAACTCCCAGAGTTTTTATATATAGTCATGAATGATTTCACCTTTGTCCAAGAGTAAGGGTTCAGAGCAAAAGTTGGTAAGCTGCCATTGTACTCGACCACGTTAAATTTCAAGGGGCCTAAAATGAAATCAGATATTATATCAATATCGTGTCCATGTTAGTGCCGGCTCCATTGGGGTGGAAATGAGCTAACTCAGACAGTATGAAAAAAAAAAAAAAAAAACCCGTCTATAACTCCTTGATATAGAATAGCATAGCGGATATAAACAAAATTCAGAAAATACCTATTTCAAGAAAAAACCCAGAGAGAGCAGTGCAGCCAGGTCCGCCAGTGAGCCACAGCACGACAGGATCCTCCGCTGGATTCCTTTCTGATTCAATAAAATAGTAGAAGAATTCCACATCTCCCACCCCTATGTATCTGAGACACAATTAAGATTAACCAATAATGACAATTCTAGGTCGTCCAGCACTATTCTTAAAACCATTAACAATCAGAAGCTCACCCTGTTTCAAGCTTGAAGGGAAGTGAACCAGAAAATCCAGGAAGAAAACTGATGGTTGAAAAAGAAACTGCAGGCCTATCCCAAACCATGACCAAGACTATGTAAAAGCATACTAACTGGGAATGCTTTGAAACCATCCGTGCTAGATTCTGCCCTAGAATTTCTACTAACATGTGAGCTAGATTTGGAACAAGAGCTTAAAACTTGCCAAAGTTTCTTGAAGCGAGAAGTCAGAAATCTAATAAAGCAGTGATGTCAGCAATTACGTAATTTTTCATATCTTTAACTTTTTTAAAAAATTTAAAATTATTTTATTTTTTTCTCTGGTATATTTAAATAATTTTTTATAAAGATTTATATTAATATGTATTTTTTTAATAGAAATGTATTGATTTTAATTAATTTAAAATAATAATTTATATTATTTAATAAAAAATTTATTTATTAAATATATAAAAATATATATAAAGTATGATACGAGACGAATATTATATTACTTGACTCTATTTTCATACCTAATAAAAATTTAAAATTATATCTATCTATATCTTGATATTCATAATATAATATTTATTTTCATCTCTATTTGAATAAAAAATCAAATTTTTCATTAAGAATGGATAAGATTGATATCCCTGTAATAAAGGTAACTTATGCAAAAATTATTATACTTTCTGAAAATTTAAAATTTAGTATTTATATTACAATTAATACAAATTTAGTTCTTATATTATTTTGATTTGATAATTATAATTTAATCACTAACTCTTTCAATTTTTTATTGTTAAAAATATTGATATAGTTGTTGACTTTGTTGATGTGATATTAATTTATTAATATGATAATTGAAATTAATAAAATCAATTAAATTATACAATTTATTTATGAACTCATATAAAATTTGAAATTTTAGTCTTTATATTAGCAAAAAATTTAAAATTTAGTCCTTATATTCATACGAAATTTGAAATTAATTTTTCTAATATAAAAAATATTTTTAATTTTAGAAAATTTTTAGTTTTTCAAATATTAAATTTCAAAAATTACCACAATAATTTCTCATAGTATTATATCACAATATTAAAAAATATATTATAATATTCTGTCACAATTTTCATATATTGTCACTATATTTATCTCAAATTTTTTGTCAACTATGTAAAATAATGTTACTAGTTCTATCATTATTTTTTTGTTATATTCGGTCATAAAATATAAATTTGTTACTAGTTTTGTGACACTTTTTTATTATAATTATAATATATTACGATCATATGAAAACAATATTTATACCAATCTATTAAAAATTTATCATAAATTTGTCAAATACAAATCTGTCATTATCTATTTTTATTAAAACTATTATTCTTTATTAATTTATTAAATGTAATTAGAATTATAATTACATCCCATAAAGATAAAATTATCTATCAAATTACGATTTTATTTCTTTAAATTAAACCCTATTTAAATGATTTTTTATAATCAAATATAGATTTAAGATTCTAAATACATTAAAGTAATTTACTAAATTTAATGTGCATTGGCATTAAAATTAATCTTATTATTTAATTTAATATAATTATTTAGATAAATTTTTTTGTAAAGATAAAAAAAATTAAAAGTTGTTATTATAATACATGATATTGATAATTTGATTTATCAAATAAATCATTTTTTTTCTTTCGTTTTATTAAGATTCAAAATTCGTATTTCAAATGGATAAAAACTCGTCCTTCACAAGAATTTAAGTTTAAATATTTTATTTTATTTTATTGAATGGAATCATCATTTCATTCACAATCTATTTCAAATTAATTACAAATGTAAATATATTCAAGAGTTTGGTTCATTATAAATTTTGTTATATGATATATTTAAATTAATTAAAATAATATTAATTTTGATATATTAATTTAAATTATTAATATTATAATTAATTAATATAAAAGAGAATAATATTGTTATTCATATGATATTATTAATAATTAATTATATACAATAAAAACTAATATATTTCAAAAAATATTTTTATATTTGTGGAATTAAATTTTTCTAGTTCCTCTAACATTTAAATTTTTTTTATGTTTTAAAATATTAAATTAAATTTTGTACGAATATAAAAACTAAAATTTAAATTTTATATGAATACAAAAATTATTTACATAATTTAATAATTGATTTTATTTATTCAAGTTATCACATCAGTAAGTTATCGTCGTATCAACAAAATTAACGTCTACATCATCAAATCAACGATTACATCAACATTATTGACGGTAAAAATTTAATGGGATTAAAATTATCAAATTAAAATAATACGGTAACTAAATTTATATGAATTACAATATAAAAATTATCTAAATTTTTACAAAATACAAAAACCTCTCACATAATTTAACCTATAATAAATCATTAATAGTGCCTGTTAGTCCAATATGGGATGTCAATTTTATTTGTACCTAATAGAAAACTTGATTTTTTATCTGAATGAAGATGAGGAAGGATATTATATTATTAACATAGAGATAATGATGGATATGATTTTAAATTTTTATTGAAGATAAAGATAGGGATGGGTATTATAGTACTGGTTTTATATCTATACCTTACATATATATTTATATATATTTAGTAAATAGATTTTTTATTAAATAATATAAATTATTGTTTTAAATTAATTAAAATTAATATATTTTTATTAAAAATATATTTATATATATTTATAAAAAATTATCTAAATATATAAGATAAAAATAAAAAAATAAATTTTTGTTTTTATTTTTTTTAAAATTATGAGTACGAAGAATTTGCGTATTTATAAAAATAAAAATGAAAATAAATTTAAAATATTCATTAAATATAAATATAAAAATAAAAAAATAATTTACCTTACCTAAATCCCATCCATTAACACCCCTACACCAATAATGACACTTATTTATCATACGAGCTAGTTTCTCCCTCTACGCTTAATTTTTTCAGGGAAGTATTGATACGACATTCTGCTTTTTTGTGGCCGTCATTAGAGTAGAGCTTCGATGCACTCCTGAGTACAACATCAAGGTTCCTATGCTTTTTTGAGGAATTAAAGGCTGAGCCTGAAAGGATAAAACCATGGTCAATTTGGTGGCCCCTTATCATGAGCCAACCTTGTATAGGGCCATGACAGGGACTTAGGTTGCCATAAGCCACCCATGTATAGGGCCATGGCCGGGTAGATCCATTGTGCTAGGAAAAGTGTCCCAATTTCAAACATTGTAACGGTTACTGGTAGCATAGCTCTAAAATCTCTAAGGCTCTTTAGAGGGGGTGAGCCGGCAGCGTAGTGTTGGACTGTCTCACCGGGTGCTATGCGAGCTTAGGCCACCCACCAAGGGCTGCCCCCTGGCCCTGGTGATGGTGGAAGGTCCCGATGTATGATTCTCATTTTTAATAAAATTCACCCCGATTGAATGCCCCGAATGTTGCCTCGATGTGTTTATTTCTTTCTTGATACAAATGTGCCTTGTTGTGTATGTGCTTGAGATTGATCTCGATATATTGTGCCTTATTGCGAATGCTTGAGGTTAACCATGGTTTATGGTTGTTTGTTCAGATATCGACCTATTGAAGGCTGACTTGGGTGGAAACGTCCATTCGAGTGCCGCACGGTCTATTGCTTGTTGAGAGAAAGCATAGTCCGTGACACGTGGTATCAGAGCACGGTTGAGAAGTGCTAGAAGATGGATGAGATGACCATAAGTGGTGGACCTGATCATCAGCAGAGAATTGAGGAACTTGAGGCCGTGGTGGCCGCAATGAAAACTCACATGGTGACTAAAGACCGAGTGAGGGAGATCGAGACAACCCAGCGGGAGTTGTCCGATACTCTCCACAACGTGAGCGAAGAGGCTAGAGATGCCTTGAATATTCTCCAAAAGGAGTTTGAAGAGCTCAGAGCACATGTGAGCATCTTACAAATAGCTATGGCCAGGTCAGCCTCGAGTTCGATGGAAAGGGGGAGAAGACCCAAGGTGCCAGAGCCTCGATGTTATGAGAGGGCAAGGGATGCTAAGGAACTTGAGAATTTCTTGTTTGACATGGAGCAGTACTTTTGGGCTGTACACATAGATTCAGAGGAAGACAAGGTAGCAATGGCATCGATGTACCTCGCAGGAGATGCCAAGCTTTGGTGGCACTCCAAGTTTGTTAATGACGAGTGCCCAATTAAGACTTGGATAGACCTGAAGCAGGAATTGAAAAACCAATTTTTCCCTGAGAATGTGGAGTATATGGCTAGAAGGAGACTCTGAGAACTGGTGCAAACAGGGACGGTGCGAGAGTTTGTAAGGAACTTTTCTACCTTGATGTTGGATATTCGAGACATATCCGAGAAGGATAAGATGTTCTATTTTCTTGAGGGCCTCAAGCCTTGGGCCAAAACAGAACTACAAAGACAAAAAGTGCAAGACGTGGCCACAGCCATGGCTGCAGCTGAACGTCTCCACGACTATAATGATGGCTTCTTAAAATGAAAAAATCCTCCATCAGCTGGCAGTAGCTTCAACTTTGAGAGTGAGAGAAAGATGACTAGGCTAGATCGACCCTCCAGTGGGGGATCAGATAGGAGGTCCTTCGGTCGAGATAGCACCCAACCCAGAACAAACAACGCAGTGACTTTTAAGCCTAGACAACCATTGGCTTACTTTCTTTGCAAGAGGCCTCATCGGGTGGCCGAATGCCCGCACAGAGGAGCCTTTAATGCTTTGAGAACCTCATCTTAAGAGTCGATAAAAGTGCCAGAGAGTGTTGAAGAGATTGAGGAAGAGCCAGCCAGGATGGGCTCAATAAAGTTCCTCAATGCCCTCCACACCCAACTGAACACTATAAGAAAAGAGCAAAATAGAGGCTTGATGTATGTGAACCTAATTATCAATGAGAAGGCCACCAAGGCCATGGTGGATACGGGTGCAACTGATACTTTCATCACGTCGAAAGAAGCAAAGAGGTGTGGTCTTCAAGTTAACAAAGACTGTGGACGAATGAAGGTGGTCAATTCGTCAGCCTTTGCGATCAGTGGAAGCTCTAATGTTGTGATAACCAAATTAGGGTCGTGGGAAGGGAAGGTAGACTTTACAGTATCCCCTATGGACGACTTCGATGTTGTTATCGAATTGGATTTCATGCTGTTGGCTCAGACGATCCCTATCCCCGCTGCTAGCTGCTTGTTGTTCTTAGGGGAACACCCATGTATGGTGCTTGCCAATATCTTGCCAAAGAGTGAGAAGAAAATGATTTCGACTTTGTAATTCAAGAAAAGGGTAAGGAGAGGGGAACCCTCTTTTGTGGCCATACCGATCTACAAAGAAGGGTCAAAAGTAGAATCAATACCCGATGGCGTGAAAAAAGTACTGAAAGAGTTCGAAGAAGTGATGCCAGAGATATTGCCTAAGGTTCTACCCCCTCGACGAGCAGTGGACCATAAAATTAAACTCCTCCCAGGAACAAAACCCTCTGCTAGAGCCCCTTACCGCATGGCCCCGCCAGAGTTGGTCGAGCTAAGGAAATAATTAGATGAATTTTTACAAGCCGAATTTATCAGACCATCAAAGGCTCCTTTCAGAATGCCTGTGCTATTTCAGAAAAAGCATGATGGAAGTCTGCGCTTATGTGTTGACTACAGGGCCTTGAACAAAGTCACCTTAAGAAACAAATATCCTATCCCTCTGATAGCAGACTTGTTTGACCAATTGAGCCTGGCCAAGTACTTCTCCAAACTGAACCTGAGATCTGGATACCATCAGGTCAGAATCATTGAGAGAGATGAATCGAAAACTACTTGTGTAACACGGTATGGTGCATTTGAATTTCTTGTTATGCCTTTTGGAGTAACCAATGCTCCTGCCACATTTTGTACATTGATGAATCAGGTGTTCTATGACTACCTAGACAAATTTGTAGTCATCTATTTAGATGATATAGTGGTATATAGCTCCACATTGAAAGAACATCAAGAACACCTACGCCAGGTATTTCAAAGGTTACAGGACCACTGGTTATATGTAAAAAGGGAGAAGTGTGCATTTGCTCAGACACAAATCTATTTTCTCGATCACATTGTCGAACATGGCCACATCCGCATAGACATGGAAAAGGTCAGGGCCATCAAGGAGTGGACAACACCGAAGAATGTTAGTGCGCTCCGTTCATTTTTAGGGCTAGTCAACTATTATAGAAGGTTTGTAAAAAGGTACTCTCGCAAGACCACGGCCCTTACGGAGCTATTGAAGAAGGAGCACAAATGGTGTTGAACGAATGAGTGCCAAGAGGCCTTTGAGGGATTGAAGGATGCTATTATGAAAGATCCCATCTTAGCTCTCCCTGCTATTGAAAAGCCTTTCGAAGTTCAGACGAATGCATCTGATTTTGCTATTGGAGGTGTGCTTTTACAATAACATCACCTGATAGCATTTGAAAGTAAGAAGCTGAGCGAATCTAAAAAGAAATATACGGCTCAAGAAAAAAAGCTCCTTGCGGTGGTTCACTGCTTGAAGGCTTGGCGACATTACTTGTTGGGTTCGTATTTTGTCGTGAAGACAGACAATGCAACCGTTAGCCATTTTCTCACCCAACCAAGGCTCAAGACGAAACAAGCTAGGTGGCAGGAATTTCTAGCGAAGTTTGATTTTGCTGGCTGTAGGGTGGTTAGTTGGTAGCTGTAGGGTGGCTGGCAGGAAGCTGGTCGGGGGGCTGGTTGGGTTGCTGATAAGGAGTTGGTCAAGGAGTTGGTCGAGGCAGCTCGGCATCGCACCAACTCTTTGACTTTTTTCTTTTTTTTTTGTTTGTTTACTTGTTTTGTTTTTTTCTGTTTTGTTTTGTTTTTTTTGTTTTGTTTTGTTAAATATTATTATTATAAAAAAAAATAAAATAGTAGACCCGAACAAAATCGGTGTCTACAGCTGCCCCTCTTTGCACGTTTCTGAGAATCAGGAATAGGGCAAAGACAAAGACAATGATTTTGTCCGAAAATAAATCGTGTTATTTTTTGGTTTTACAGAAAAGGGCTCCTCTTAGCATAGGCTCAACAACTTTAAAATTTTTTCTTGAAAAAGCTCCTCTCAACAGAGGTTCCACAACTTTAAAATTTTATTTCGGAAAAGCTCCTCTCAGCAGAGGCTCAACAACTTCAAAATTTCTTTCTTGAAAAAGCTCCTCTCAACAGAGGCTCCACAACTTTAAAAAATCTCATTTGGAAAAGCTCTTCTCAGCAGAGGCTCAACAACTTTAAAATTTCTTTCTTGAAAAAGCTCCTCTCAACAGAGGCTCCACAACTTTAAAAAATCTCATTTGGAAAAGCTCCTCTCAGCAGAGGCTCAACAACTTTAAAATTTCTTCTTGAAAAAGCTCCTCTCAACAGAGGCTCCACAACTTTGAAATTTTCATCTTGGAAAAGCTCCTCTCAACAGAGGCTCCACAACTTTAAAATTCTTTCTTTTTGGAAAAGCTCCTCTCAGCAGAGGCTCAACAACTTTAAAATTCTTTCTTGGAAAAGCTCCTCTCAACAGAGGCTCCACAACTTTAAAAAATCTCATTTGGAAAAGCTCCTCTCAGCAGAGGCTCAACAACTTTAAAATTTTTTTATTGAAAAAGCTCATCTCAACAGAGGCTCCACAACTTTAAAAAATCTCATTTGGAAAAGCTCCTATCCGCAGAGGCTCAACAACTTTAAAATTTTTTCTTGAAAAAGCTCCTCTCAACAGAGGCTCCATAACTTTAAAAAATCTCATTTGGAAAAGCTCCTCTCAGCAGAGGCTCAACAACTTTAAAATTTCATTTATTTTCAATTTGAGTTTTCATCTTTGAACAAGTAAATTCCTCTCTTTTGAATTCCTTTGTTTGATCATTGTCTTTACCAAAATCTTGTTTTTTTCATTAAGAAAAGGAAAATTTCTATCTTTGTTACAACTTCTCATGGATGCATGTACTGAGTGCTCATGATACAATGCATGTAATGCAATCAAAATCATCCATTGTAGTAAAAAGGTTCTCAAAATCTCTCGCTTTCAGCTTCTTTTATCCAAATTCTTATATGACCAATCTGTCTTCAACATCTGACCACAATATTTTTTCTTCAAAAGTCTGCAACATCAATGTCTTGTCATGCTTTTCTCATCCTTTTTCATTTGCCTTTGTCAACTTTAAAAGTAATGCTGAGATCTTTCATGTTTGTTTTTCTTTTCATCATTTTAAGTTCAAGACAAATAAAATGCAATCACACATTTCTCTGATGGACAAAAAATATCAAATAAGGATAAAAGAAAGGATAGGCATTATTTCAAATGAAGGATAATGTATTTCTTACGGCTGATAACAAGTGTATGTCAAAGTGTTTGAATTGAAATAAAGGTGTCAAAAGAATGATCACAAGATAATCATGAACAAAATATTCTCAGATTCTTTCTCTAAAACTAAATCAGATGACTTCCTTGATTATTCAGAGTTCATCAAACTACACTTGCCCCTACATTGTGAGATCTTTTCTTGATGATGCTTTTGCTTCACATCTAAGCCACCTTTTCAGGTTTTCAACTTAGATAAGTCATCATTTTTTTCTCTTTTTTTTTCTTTTTTTTAAGCAAAATATTTTTTCACAACATCTAAATTTATTGGGGTAGGCAAATCACCTCCGTCTATTTCTACCAAAATCAATGCCCCGCCAGAAAAAGCTTTTTTCACCACATACGGGCCTTCCCAATTTGGTGTCCATTTCTCCCGATTATCATGTTGATTTGGAATGAATCTTTTTAGCACAAGTTCTCTTCCCTAAAGCCAACCGGGACAAGTTTTCCTTGTCATGTGCTCTCATCATCCTCTTTGAATATAATTGACGCATGACAAAGTGCTGACAGTCCTTTTCTCTTCAATAGGTTTAAACTGCTCGTAGGCGATTCGGACCCAATTCTGCTTCCTCTAACTCCACCTCCATCAGGACTCTCAGTGAGGGAATTTCCACTTCGACTGGTAGCACAGCTTCCATACCATATACCAAAGAGAACGGTGTGGCTCGAGTAGACGTTCTGACTGATGTTCTATAAGCATGCAAGGCAAAAGATAACTTCTCATGCCAATCTTTGTAAGTTTCAGTCATTTTCTCCAGGATTCTCTTGATATTCTTATTCGCAACCTCCATGCCCCATTCATTTTTGGACGATATGGTGTCGAATTACGATAGCGGATCTTGAACTGAGTGCATACTTCATTCATCATTTTGTTGTTCAAGTTTTTGGCATTATCATAAATAATTGTCTCCGGAAGCCCATATCTGCATATTATCTCTCTTTTCATGAACTTACATACCACATATCGGGTCACGCTAGCATATGATGCAGCCTCTACCCATTTGGTGAAGTAATCAAATCATCACAAAAAATGAATCTATGCCCATTCGAAGCTTTTGGAGTGAGAGACCAATGACATCCATGCCCCATATTGAGA